TATATATATACAGAGAGAGAGAGATAAAATTAAATAGACTAAACAACTCGAAATCTAAAGAAATGTCCATTTGTAAAGTGAGGCTTTTTGGCTAGATGACAAGCACCGCCTAGTCCCGACTTCTGCCCGACAAATGTCAGCGAGCCGGTAAGCCTGCCACGTGGACGGTCAGATTTGAAAACGTAGCCAGCTGTGGAGAGACTTGCAAGTTGCACCTCCGGAGGAAAAATGCCTAACCATAGTTAAATCCCCCGCAGTCTCAAACCCCAACCATGATTAACTCGGCGCCGCTTTAAACTATTTTATTTATTTATTTATTGTTTTTTTTCCACTTCATTCAAATATCTCTCTCTTTCTTCAACATCTCTGTCTCTGTCTGTCCCTCTCTCTCTCTCACCCTATCTCCAGAGTAAACTTGATTCATGAAGCCGCCTTATACGACCTCCGTCTTGCGCCGTTCATGGCTTGCCGACTGAGTCGACTCGGGGTCTTGTAAATTTCCTTTCGCTTCATTGAACGAAGTTCGTAATCGAGTACAATTTTGTCGTTTTCTCAGTAGCTTCCTCATCATTTTCCAGCGAAACAATCACGATCAAGAATTCAGACTCTGTTTGCAGTGAATTGGCGTTTTGTGCAAGTACTTGACTCAATCCAGCTGCAGCTTGTCTTTATACGAGTAGCTGTTCTGATTCTTTTGGTTTTTGTATCTTGGAGCCTTGGAGCTGAAGAAGAAAACCTGAAGAAGAGCGTGAAGTTCTGGTTGATTGGGATTTGAAGTGAACAGAGTATGGCGGAGATGGAAAATTCATCGCCAATGGCGATTTCTACAGCTTCCGGAGAAGCCAGCGCCTCTTCCTCCGGTAATCAGATTCAAGGAGCGCCGCCCAAGAAAAAGAGAAATCTCCCTGGAATGCCAGGTGATGTTATCGGAATCCAAAAATTCATTCTTTTATCAATTCCGTGATTTGAAATTATTTACTGAAAAAAGGTTTTTTTTTTTTTTTTTTTGAAAATTTTGGTTCTTCAGATCCAGATGCTGAAGTTATAGCTCTATCTCCGAAAACCCTACTAGCCACAAATCGGTTCGTGTGCGAGATCTGTAACAAAGGCTTTCAACGCGATCAGAACCTGCAGCTGCACCGTCGCGGCCACAACTTGCCGTGGAAGCTCCGGCAAAGAACGAGCAAAGAAATCCGGAAACGAGTCTACGTTTGCCCGGAGCCGACCTGCGTGCACCACAATCCCACCCGTGCCCTTGGCGATCTCACTGGCATCAAGAAACACTTCTGCAGAAAGCACGGAGAAAAGAAGTGGAAATGTGAGCGATGCTCGAAGAAATACGCCGTGCAGTCGGATTGGAAGGCCCACATGAAGACCTGCGGCACCAGAGAGTATAAGTGCGATTGTGGCACCATTTTTTCGAGGTTTGCAGTTCTCCTAACCTCCAATTCTCATTCCCTTCATGTTTCGGTTTTTGAGTTACGGTGGTGTTTTCTTTTCTTGGTGGCGCAGGAGGGATAGTTTTGTAACGCACCGGGCATTCTGTGATGCCTTAGCGGAGGAGAGCTCCAGGGCCCAAGCATTACCAATCAAGAGTAATACTGCAGCTAATCAAGGAAATGCAGATACAAATGTGAAAAATGCAATTACCACCACAGCATCGTCACCACCGCCGCCTCTCACGCCCTCTTCTAGTGTACTCTCATCGGGTCTGTCAATCCAAAGCTCAGGTAACTTTTCTGTCAAAGATAGCTCATTTTCTCAGCCAAGAACAAAAAAATCCCAGAAAATAATGATCAATGATTTTTTTTTTTTTTTTTACTTTTAATTTAGTTGCGTTTTGTCTCTTCTATGTCGTTTTTTTTGTTTGGATTTTTCAGAATCTTTTAGGCTATAAAGAGCCCTTTTTTTTTAATCATCAGCTATAAAGGAGCTAAATGCATATGGGTTTGGTAAGAGAGAGAGAAAGAAAGGAGGGAGGTTTTTTAGAAATTTGATTCACGGGCGATGGATGGTTTATACTACAGTCAAAAGTAAGCTCAAAGATCGAAAAGGGGAAGAAACTGAGAAAGAACGCTATTATTGCTTCTGCTTTTAATCTGAAGCACTAAAAAATGTTAGGAGAAAGGCATAAAGAAATTAAAAAGGCCCACTTTTTGATTTCTTTGTGATTTTCTAGGATCACTACCCTTTCTGATTCGTCTTTTCTTGTTTATGCTTGTATAAAAATGGCAGATAATCCGGTGGTAGTCTCGTCTGCAGCCGGGGCCACGACCTCCCCTACTTCAAGCAGTAGTGTCTTTGCTAGCATTTTTGCGGGAAACCCACAACCATCATCCAAAATGCCACCGCCATCTCAATCCTCTATTCTTCAATCTGCATCTGGCTTAGAGCGTACTTCCCTGTCTCTGTCATCACCGCTCTACCTCTCCAGCAATGGCTCCTCGCTGTTCCCTGCGCCTGATAATGACCACTACCAGTATGCCCATCCACAACCAGCCATGTCCGCCACTGCATTGCTGCAAAAAGCTGCCCAAATGGGTGCGGCAGCGTCAAACCCATCGCTACTTCGAGGGCTAGGATTGACCGTATCATCTGCTTCCGCCACCTGTCTAGACACCACCGTGAAAATGGAGAACGATTCAATGGTAGATTGTCTCGGGCTGGGGCTACCATCAATTGGAAGTTCTGGCACCTTTACTGATTTCATGATGGGCTCATCCTCACTGTTTGTAAACAAACCGACTACCCTTGATCTTCTTGGCCTCGGCGTTGGTGCTGGCGATGCTTCAACAACCGGACTCTCTGCCCTTCTCAACTCTTTTGGAGGAGGTGGGTTGGCCACAACACCATATGGTATGGCAGAGGAAAGCCCGGCCGACGGAGAAACATGGGATGCAGAAGTTAGGAAGCACAATGGACCTGCAGTGCTGTAGTCGAGCTTCTCCCAGGTCCCAGCTGGTAAAAAGAAAAAACAGGAAACTCCCATAGGAACCTTGTTTTCGGTATCCTTTTTGTCGATCTTCAACATAATGAAGTTAGAAATCAGAGAAGTAATGTTAGAGGAAGACATCAAATTCTGCGTTTCTTTTGTTAGTACTGCATTTGTTCAGATTGGGGTTCTTTCTCTTCCCTTTGAGGTAAAATTCTTAATTCGAATTCCCGGGGGCGCATGAAAAGGGTTTGTAGTAGTTGTAGTAGTTGTAAATGTACTCTGTAGTAACTAGCAAATGCGGCACAAAATAAGAGGTATTTATTCAGTTTTCTGGTCGTCCGCATGCCCCTATTTAATTCTTCTTCTTCTTCTTCTTCTTCCTAGCCATGTAAACCTTTGTAAACAGTTTAAGTTGCCAAAGACATGGTTTCCTCAATGGAGTATGGAGTGTGTCAACAAAGTTTGGTCTAGTTAAGTGGAAGCTAATTTAATTGTTTGAATTTCTTTATCTTGGATGATAAATTCCAAATGAATGTTGCGAGTATTAATGCAAATTGGAAGCTTCTAATATTTATGTTCTCCTCAACAAGAGGTTGGAATTCTAGAGGGTATACTTTAGAATTGTGCTCCAAACAAATAATGGGGTTTTTTTTAAAAGAAAAATGACGGCGTTTCTAAACTGAATTGTGCATATACTTTAGTAATTTAGTTAAATATAAAATTATTTATGCTTGAGTTTTAAGATTTATAAGAACTTGCATGCTTGTATCCTCTCTAAACAACCAAATAAAACCTTGATTACAAGACAAAAAACAATTCAACGGCTCCTTAAGTCGCATGGTATACTTTGTGTCTGTGCCGAATTCACAAATGAAATCTCTAAAACAATACTTGGAACCTATAGTGATAGGCAAAGTTAAGGTCACTAACAAAAGTATTAATATCATTCAAATTGTAAACTATTATTTTTAAAAATATTAATTTTATTTATTTTAATTGATAAAATAACTAATAAATATAATTGATAATTAATATTTATTAATAATAAATAAATTAAAATCAATTAATAATTTAATATTTTTACATGCTATTTAAAAGTACGTTAAATCCTCAAATTTAGTTCTGAATTATTATACGACTTTTAATTTGATTCTTAAATTATTGTATGGACCCTCATTTGATTTATAAACTATTGTACATATCTTTAATTTGGTTTTTATTGTTTACTCATTTACTCGAAGTTGATTCTTTCATATAAAAATCAATTGACATGTTTTATTATTAATGTAACACGTGATTGTTAAGTTATTATTTTTTACAGTTAAGTAATGAATGCGTCAACTATTTTTTACATGAAAAAACTAACTTAAAATAAATTGATAAATAATAAACACCAAATTAAAGCTTCATGTAGTCATTTATAGACCAAATTAAAGATTTAACTTAAAAAGTAAAAGTGGCTTAACATTTTTTTTTTTCTACCGAGGCAATAACCACACCCCTATGAATGCATGGCAGGTC